TAGGCTGTTAAGCTTAACCTTACTATCTGTCTGAATATCAAATATCTTAGGCATAACATGGAACAGTTATTTTTCATCAAGTATTGCTATGCTGAACTTTAATTCCCTACAGAATATGATGAAATTTTTTTTTTTTCTTTTGCGGTACTAGGGATTGTACTCAGGACCCTGCATTTGCCAGGCAAGTGCTTATTCTACTGAGCTATCTCCCTGGACCCCTTCCTATGTTTGGATTATTTTTTCCCTAGCTCAAAATGAAGATCTGAAGCTCGAAGTCACCAACATCCTTCAGAAGCATAAGCAGGAGGTAGAGATGCTCCAGGAAAAGGCGGCCACCGCAGCCCCGCCTTCCAACAGGCTGCCTGAGCTGGGTCCGCTCCCAGACCCATTCCTAGAGGTGGTGCAGAGAGAGGTAAGGACGTGTCCTCTACAGCGGGTCTCTGGCAGGTGTCGCTAGGAAAGACAAAGAGCTTGGAAGACTGGGTGCTCGTTCGTCCTGAGAGGACCCTGGTTGTGAGACATGAGAAGGCCGAGGCAGAGCTTCTGGAGCTCCGCCCGCACCCTTCCCCCTTCACAGCTCACGCTGTGACTCTCTCAGGTGAGGACCCAAGTTGGGGTATTGATGAGCATTCTGCCATCCAAGGCTGCGTAGCCTCCCCACACTGCTGCCTCGGGATGTGAAGCCTGGGGAACAGTCAAGCTCTTATCCTACTGAGCGGTTGTCCTTATCCTACTGGTTAGGTTGTTAACCATCCAGAAGACAAGCTTATTGTTATTACCATACAACCTAGGCTGTTAAGCTTAACCTATCTGTCAGAATATCAAATATCTTAGGCATAACATGGAACAGGTATTTTTCATCAAGTATTGATATGCTGAACTTTAATTCCCTACAGAATATGATGATTTTTTTTTTTTTTCGGTACTAGGGATTGAACTCAGGACCCTGCATTTGCCAGGCAAATGCTTATTCTACTGAGCTATCTCCCTGGACCCCTTCCTATGTTTGGATTATTTTTTCCCTAGCTCAAAATGAAGATCTGAAGCTTGAAGTCACCAACATCCTTCAGAAGCATAAGCAGCCCGCAAGCCTGGGGAATAGGAGCTTGTGCTGTGGTGCATGTCCTCCTGCCCTGCGCTCTAAATTCTGCTGCTGGCATTTTACTGCTTACTAGAGAATAGTTATTACTGTACCTGTCATATTTGTTTGGGGACATCAAAGTGTACTCTGCCATTGAGCTATGTCCCCAGCTCTTTTTATTTTGAGACATGGTCTCCTCTCCCTAAAATTCCCTGAGATTTGAACTTGAATCTTCCTTCCTCAGCCTCCCGAATAGCTGGGCTTTCAGGCATTTGCCACCACACCTGGCTATCCCTGACTTTTTATATTCTATCTTATCAATGTTGGGCTGGGAAGATAGCTCAGTAGACTAAGTGCCTGCCTGGCAAGCGCAGGGTCCTGAGTTCAATCCCTGGTACCACAAAAAAAAAAAAAAAAAAAAAAAAAAAAGAAAGAAAAAGAAAATATTGTATCAATGTTTTTCCCTCTCTAGCCTAGTGAACCCAAAGTTCAAGAAGAGAAGAAACTGTCCCAGGTACTAAATGAGCTGCGAGTAGCTCATGCAGAAACCACCCTGGAACTGGAAAAGACCCGAGACATGCTTCTTCTGCAGCGCCAGATCAACGTGTGCTATCAGGTGCAGGAAATGGGGATAGATAACGAGGCTGTCAGGACTCCCTGGAAAACAAGACCTGCACCCAGGGCTGATGCCAGGAGATGTGCCATCCTGTGCAGACCCAGAACGTGCTGTCCTTGGGAGAGCTTGGGGACTCACACTTGCCACGCCCCTTGGCATGGAAGGCAGGAACGGGCCAGCTGAAGAAATGGCAAAAGGGAAGCTTCTGGGTGGAGATTTCCCCAGTGTTAGGGAAACTGTACTCGGAGGAACCAAGGGTGCGTCCTGCCCTGGAGGGATTCATGCAGAGCCTTTCTTGCTAAAGGGATAGCAGAGGCTGGTTCTGGGCTCCTGGGAGAAAAGAGTTTAGACATTATTTTGTTTCAGGAGGAACTGGAAGCAATAATGACAAAAGCTGATAGCGAAAGTAAAGATCACAGAGAAAAACTGGAGAGGTTGAGTCAACTTCTAGATCTTAAGAACAACCGAATCAAACAGCTGGAAGGTATTTTGAGAAGCCATGGACTCCCAACATCTGGCAAGTCTTAATGCCTTGTTCTCATCCTGGGCAGCCATACGCTGCTGCCCCATTCCCTGTGTCCCTGTCTGGAGGGCTGACTCTGGCCATAGGCTGTGGCCATGGCCGTGGCCGTGACCGTGGCCGTGGCCGCGGCCGTGGCACATCCCTCCTGCTCTGTATCCTGTCATCTTTGTTGTTCTGACACACAAGGAGCAGCTGCTTTCTTTCCACTGTGCCTCTGTGTCTGTCTTTCTCTGATTTCTCTGGAGAGCTTTAACAGGCCCAGCAATTGCTTCCAGGGACTGATTATATTTTGAGAATGAGAATCGACAACAAGAGTGGCAGTCTCTCTCTCTCTCTCTCTCTCTCTCTCTCTCTCTCTCTCTCTCTTCTTCATCATTTCTTCAATCTGAGACTATAAAGCAATTTTTATGAGGCAATAGATCGTCATCATTCATTTCCCATCATATTTTTCTCTGAATTCTCTTTCAAATTTTTGTTGTAATTTGAGCATATCAACAGTGACAGACTAGTTGTCACTTGATGCAAGTTTCATATTATGGTCCTTTCTATTCTTAGCATAATTACGGCTGTCCAGGATCTGTCCCACCTTGCATGTCAAGAAACAAGATTGTTGTCATGCTCAGTGGTGAGAGACCAGACTCACACTAACCAAATTCGCCAGAGACTGATATTTAAACCACAATCTAAGCCACAATAGAGACTATCCCATTGCTGCCATCAATAGATTTGGAGCCATGTTCAGGGCATCTCCTTTCTGGCAAGAGGTTGAGTAATAGTAAGTTTCTTAGCATAGATTTCAGGGAAAGGGATAGATCATTCTGAGGCAGGTAAGTCTATACTGATATGAGCCTGAGCAAGGGCCACTGCCAGATAAGGGAAGCCTCGGCCAGAGCCATGGTGCACACCTGTGATCCCAGCACTTGGGAGGCTGAGGTAGGAGGATCACGGTGAGCTCACGGCCAGCCTGAACTACATGGTGAGACCCTTTCTCAGTAAAACAAACCAAACCACTCGAAGGAAATTCCCCCTTAGACTGAAATTTTCATGTCTTTCAGATTTAGGAACTTCTGGGCCAGCCAAACAGCTCAGAGGATTAAAGCTCCTACTTAGGCAGACACGGGGGCCAAGGGTTCGATCCCCAGCCTGTAGTGCCGGCCCCACCCCGGGGCATGTTGAGCCGGTGATTGAGACTGGGCATGGTGGTGCGTGCCTGTAAACCCAGTGCTTGGGAGGCTGAAAAACAGGAAGGATCACTACAAGTCTGATCTGTGCAGTGAGACCCTATAGACCATGTACTAAATACATTAAAAAAAAAAAGATTTAGGAACTTCTCTCAGGGTAATGCAGGATACTATTATTACTTGCTAGGAAAATTCCTTCGCTGTAACTTATAGTTCTTTGGATACTGCTAAAAATAATTTTTAAAAAAATTTCTTTGTTTGTTGTTTTGTTTTCAGCAGAGTCTCAGCTTGTAGTCCAGGCTGGCCTTGAGTTCTAATGTCACCCAGGCTGGCCTTGTACTGATAGTGTTCCTACTTCCTCAGCCTCCCAAATACTGAGAGTATAGGTTATGTGTCACCATGCCTGGATGAGATTTTTATTTATTTATATATTTATTTTGATGGAACCAGAGATTGAACTCAGACCCTTGTGCTTGCCAGGGAAGCACTTATTCCATTGAGCCATCTCCCCAGTCTCCAAAAGGTGCATCTTTTTTTTTTTTTTTTTTTTTTTTTGCAGAACCGGGGATTGAACTCAGGCCCTTGTGTTTGCCAGGCAAGCACTTATTCTACTGAGCTATCTCCCTGGCCCTTTTATTTGTTTGTAGGTTATCTGTCTTATTTTTTGGAGACTTGCCTGTTCCTGTCCTTTACCCATTTCTCAGTGCTATCTTCCTGATTTGCTAATAGGTCTTTATATACTAAGACTATAAACCTAATGTTATACAATGCGAAAGTTTAAATATATTAATCTAATTAAGAGATCATTAATGGGGCTGGTGAGATGGCTCAGTGGTCTAAAGCACCTACTTAGAACATGCTAAGCTAAGCAAAGCACAGGGACCGCGGTTCAATCCTCCAGCACCACATGCCAGCCAGCCCCGCCCCCTGGTGGGCTGAGCTGGCCACACACACACACAAAATAAATAAATAAAAATAAATAAATTAAAAAAAAAGAGATCATTAATGAAGTAGTCAATAGTCTGTCTCTGTTTTTACTTTATTTTGAGACAGGGTCTTGCTATGTAGTTCAGACTGGCCTGTTTGCTGGTATTGCACATGTGTACCATCATGCCCAACTGTATTTCATTTTTCTTTTTTTTTTTTGAACCAGGAATCGAACTCAGGCCCTTGTGCTTGCCAGGCATGTGCTTATTCTACTGAGCCATCTCCCTGGCCCTTGTATTTCATTTTTCAATACAAAGACATTCTTATGTACACAGAACATTTCATTCAACAGATTTACCTCTTAAGCTACTGATCATCAGCTTACTGTGAAGACTTACATACTCCCCAGTGTGAACTAGAGCCGTGCATAGTGGCACACGCCTGTGATCCCAGCACTGAGGAGGCTGAGGCAGGAGGATCACACTAGTTTGAGGCCAGCCTGAGCTACATAGTGAGCTGAAGGACGGACTAAACTGTATAACAAGATCCTTCCTCAAAAAGCAAAAAACAAAACAAAATAGAATAAAACAAAACCAAAAACTTTCAGGTTGGCTGCACACAGAAGTAAATCCCAGACTGGTCCTTTTGCTGTATCTTTATATCCCACTGGCGATGTTTTCAATCTCTTCCCGTAAGTCTCCTCTCTTGCCTTTTACTTCATTACTCTTCTATTCAAAGTGAATTTTTTTTGCCCTCATATGATAAAGCAATTATATTGGTGGAGCCCAATATAATTTAATAGACACTGTGCCTTTAATAGATACTGTTGTGGCAAAACTAAGCCTGGGAAAGGAACAACACCCGAGGAAGTCAGGGAGCAGTGAAAGCTTTCTTACACCACTGGCCCTGGCTAGAATAACTTCCAACCCAAGCCAGGCTGAGACAGCCTGTGAGCCATCATCTTTTGTTGGATGTATAAGCAGGGGCAGGATGGCCTGGCAGTTCTGACTAGCTAGCAGGGTGAGATCAGAGGTTACAGGGCTAGGTTAATGATCACTGGTTACAATCGGGCATCCTGCATGTCTGGTTACACTCCCATGGTTACAGGGGTCAAGAGGGCAATTACAGAGCCAGAAAGCAGTTGCAGAGCTAAGCAGCTTCAAAGAGAACAAAAGCTTTTTTTTTTTTTAAACAGTATTTTATTTTATTTTTTAATTTAATTTAATTTAATTTTTTTTGTGGAACAGGCAATTGAACTCAGACCCTTGTGCTTGCCAGGCAAGTGCTTACTCTACTGAGCTATCTCCCCGGCCCCCAAAGTTTTAAAAAGACCATTTTCTTTGTATAGTCTTTCCCTTTCTATAGGATCTTGTGCAAAGCTAGTCCAGTGTCATCTGTGTGGTATAAGCGTTCCTGGGTTTGGTGTTTGCTTGCCAGTCACTCTTCATCTTCTCCTTTCTGAAGCATTTGGGTTATTTGGCCATTTGAATTCAAATCTCCTGGTTGTCACTTGGCTGCTTTTCTTTTTGAGCTGTGTAATCTCAACTCGGACTCCCTCCATGTCTCTATTCTCTGTCTTCCTCTCAGCTGAAGAAGCACTTCTTACTCTTTAATGCATAGGCAGTTTCTTTCACCTCTAGAACAGCTCAAAGACATTGCTTATGGCACTGGACAGCTGTCCTTATGTCTGGAAACGATGCCAGCCCATGAAGATGAGAATGGAGTGGACGTTTCTCTGCTGCATCCGAGTGAGAATCTTTTCGAACTGCATATCCACCAGGCTTTCCTCACACCTGCTGCCCTGGCCCAGGCTGGAGACATGCAACCCACCACTTTCTGCACCTATGCTTTCTATGATTTTGAAACCCACTGCACCCCTTTGTCAGTGGGGCCACAGCCCTTCTATGACTTCACCTCCCAGTACGTGGTGGAAACCACTTCCTTTTTCTTGCACTATCTTCAAGGGGCTTCTGCCCGGCTTGATTTACACCAGGCTGTGGCCAGTGAGCACCAGGTCCTTGCAGCTGCATGGATTTGCTTTGACCAGGTGCTAGAGACTGTGGAGAAAGTCCATGGTTCAGCCGTGCTTACTGGTAAGTGCCGCCTGCTGCCTGCAGCTCTAGGGCCTGTGCAGGGTTTCTCATAGCCTGTAGTCACTCTGTTCATGGCTGTCCATTTTCACATTCTGCCTTTCCCACATCATCTCTTTTTTCCCCATGCCTTTTGCTTTCTGCTACCCAGGAACTGGTGGAGAAGAATTTGGGGTGCTAGAGTACTGGGTGAGGCTGCGCCTGCCCCTCAGAGCCAGCCTACAGGCATGCAGTAAGCAGAAGAAAGCCCAGGCCTACCTGTCAGTCAGTGTGCATGGAGCCAGGGAGGCCCTGGAGAATGAGGTGAGAGAAGGATGTGCCCGCACATTTCCAAGGAGCTGCAGCCAGATGGCCCTTGAGAACACCTCAGTCTTCAGTCTCAGTGTCTGTTTGCTGAATATGAATGAAAAAGAAAAGCTGCCATACAAAAACTAGCACAGGTTTTTCCCTTGGTTAAGGTTGAGTCCAGGGTGAAATCCTGCCCTTGGAGCTGCGAACTCGCCTTGCTGTGCACAAACTCGATTTTCTGTGTGGTTCGCTAGGGTGGGGTCTGAGGACAGGCATCTCCCCTAAGTAAGCACTGGAGCCCTGGCCAAGCAGGTGAAAGGCCTGGGGTTTCTCTGTGGCCAGCTCAGGGCAGTAGCTTGGGAGACCAAAGTGTTCCTTCATCTGAGTGCAGGGCTCCGCCTGTGGCAGCACCCTCAGTACAAGGCCTACCTCTTTCCAGGCCAGCGCTGATGCCTTGAACCCTCAGAATGAGCTGCAGATTGAAATCACCAGCTGCTGTGGCCTCCGGAGTCGAAGGCCAGGAACTCAGCCCAGCCCATATGCCATGTACCGGTTCTTCACCTTTTCTGACCATGACACTGCCATCATCCCCGTCAGTGACAACCCTTACTTTAAAGACCAGGCTCAGTTCCCAGTGCTCACGAGCCCTGAGCTGGATCAGTACCTGAGGCGGGAGGCCCTGTCCATATACATTTTTGATGATGAAGACCCAGAGCCTGGCTCTTACCTCGGCCGAGTCCAAGTGCCCTTGTTGCCTCTTGCACAAAATAAGCCTGTTAAAGGTGGGCACTCGGGGCTCCCAGCCTCACTGTTTCTCCAGTGTTGTCTCTTGCTCCTGATTCTTCTTTTCTCGGATTACTTGCTTGGAACAGTCTCTCCTAAAGCCTGCAGAAAGGACTTCAGAATGTCATCATGAGCAACAGTGAGAAAACTTGGAGTTTCTGCTCCTCCTACAGAAACTCGGCTTTCTGCTGCCTTTCAGCAGCAAATCAGGCACCCAATAAGTTGACCTCCAACCTGACTCCCATCCCCCTCCCACAAAACCTCTCAAACTGTAGTGCGGCTTCTTTACATATGGCCATGGCTTCTCAGCATGTGGCCCGATACTGGGTAGAATTCAACCCTCCCCCATAATTCTCTCACTTCTTTCAGCCTTTATTTTATTTTGTCTTATTTATTGATTGATTGATTTTTATGTATTTAGTACAGGGTGTTCAGGGTCTCATTACTAGATCGGGCTCATAGTGATTCTCCTGCTATCAGCCTCCCAAGCACTGGGATTACAGGTGCATGCCACCATGCCCAGTCTCAGTTGCCATTTTAGCACACCCCAGGAGCTGGAGCCGGCACCAGCACAGCATGCCAGGGAACCTGGTCTCTGTGTCTGCCTAAGCAGGTGCTTTAATCCACTGGGCTATATGGCTGGCCCTTCTTTCAGCCTTTAAACCCAAATAAGCCTTTTATGCCAAACCATGATAAAGGCACAATTTTTGGATGTGGAGCTGAGCTCCACACTTTCTTATCCTACTTTGATATCCAGGAGTATGGGGTACACCTAGGGGGAGTCAACTCTCTGGCTACAGCCCTAGGAGAGTGAGGCAGGGATGCCCGTGCACTCATTAGGAAGTGTGGATAGGTCTAGCCAATGCCAACCATATTTACCAAGATTCTGAGTGTCCCAGGAAGTAGTGAAACATCTCTTGGCCCAGTGCCACAAGTGCAAAGCAAAAATCTTAAAACTTGATGCTTCTGCTCAAAACTCCTTTAGCAAAGAGGGCAGGCTGTGTAAGCTGTCTCTGAAATCAGTGTTACAAAGCAGAAATCAAAGCAAAAAAACCCATTTAGTTCTTAAGTTTTCTTGGACCACTCAAGCACCAGGGGTTTGCCTGAGGTACAAGAAGTGTTTGGTGGCAACAGTAGGGATGCTGTCCTGTGCAGAGGCTGGGTGGCTGGTGACAAGCAAGCTGTGTTCCTCTCCACACCTCCTCTGTCTTCTATTCCTGAAACCTGTCTTCCCCTCTTGATGACATAACTGTATCTCTGGTTTGTGTGACTTCTGATTACATTGCCATCATGATTATCTCATAGTGTTAATTACTAGTAAGACATGGTGACATAAAAATGGGGAGAGCAGGGGCTGGGGAAATAGCTCAATTGAATAAGCGCTTGCCTGGCAAGCACAGGGCCTGAGTTCAATCCCTGGCTCCGCTAAAAGGAAAAAAAAAAAAAAAAAAAAAAAAAAATGGGGAGAGCAGGCCACAGTGGTGCACACTGTAACCCAAGCCCTTGGAACTGAGGCAAGAGTCTTGCAAGTTTGTTTTTTGTTTTTTTTTTCTCTGTATTTTTAGGGAAGGATCTACAGGGTGTTCAGGGTCTCACTACTAGATCGGACTCATAGTGATTTGTCTGCTTACAGCCTCCCAAGTGCTGGGATTACAGGTGCGCGCCACCATGCCCTGGTTCAATTGCCATCTCAGTGCACCCGGGCAGAGCCGGGGATCGAATCCCCAGGCCCTGTGCCTGCTTGCAAGTGCTTTAATCTGCTGAGCTATTTGGTTGGCCCTGAGTCTTGCAAGTCTGAGGCCAGACTGGATTACATAGTGAGTTCAAGATCAGCCTGAACTAAAAAAAAAAAAAAAAAAAAAAAAAAAAAATCATTCTGAACTGCATAGCAACCTTGTCTCAAAAAGGTGGGGGTATACATAAGATGCTAATAAATGCTCGCTTGTCTCATGTGATCAGGTTCTATCGCTGTCTATATGTCTCTCAGGTGATTTTAACCTCACTGATCCTGCCGAGAAACCCAATGGATCCATTCAGTTGAAGCTGGACTGGAAGTCTCACTATCTCCCTCCCGAGGGCTTCCTGAAACCAGAAGCTCACGCTGAGGTGAATGACACCAAAGACAAATCCCGTCTGCACAAATAAGGGCTTTTCTTCTCCTATGAAGTAGATTTGATGGGGTCAGTTATTTTATTTTTGTTTTTTAATTTTTGGAATTAAACTTAAGACCTTGTGCTCACCAGGCAGGTGCTGTACCATTGAGCTATATTCCAAGCCCCAAGGAGGCAGTTATTAAAATCGGAATAAATGAAATTTATTCCAATTTATAAATGTCATATGCATGCAAATTTAACTTGGAACTTACTGATGAGAAAGATTTTTTTCTGGGGGGGGAGCTGGCTCAGGCTGCCTTAAGGGTGGGTCCAGTTTTAAGGTATGGGGAGCAGGCATCGAACTACGGTCCCCTGAGCCTGACTGGGTTTGCCCTAGCAAGCACTTAAACAACTGAGCTAACCTTGGAACTTATTGATGAAATAAAATCCTGGGTTTTATTTTGGGAAAGAGAGCATCCCTCAGCTCTGTGGGAGGCGAGAAATGAAATCTAATGCTAGTTCTCAAAGCCCTTTGTTGATTTGTTTGTTTTGGCAGAACCAGGGATTGAACTCAGGCTCTTGCACTTGCCAGGCAAGTGCTTAGTCTACTGAGCCATCTCCCCGGCCCCAAAGCCCTTTGTTCAGTGTCAAGTCTGTTAAACTGTCGTCTGGTAAGACTTTCTCAACCCTTTTGTCTAGAACCGGCTGTCGTCTGCTGAGGTGCCCACTGAAGCTGACCGATACCAAGCAAAGAGCAAACCTCCTCAGACAGCAAGGAAGGAAAAGGAACACCAGGTTGTGAGCTACTCAAGGAGAAAACATGGCCAAAGAATAGGTGTCCAGGGAAGGAACAGACTGGAGTATTTCAGTTGTAACATCTTAAGCGGAGACACAATACAAGTAAGAGTTGGGAAACGCTGAGGAATATGGGTTATGGTGTCTCTACAGGTGTTGTTCTCAGAGAAGCCAAAGGTGGGCACAATGGGCAATGGCCATGGCTCTTGGTGACTAGCATGTGTTTCCACAAATACAGGTGGTATCTTTTTTGTGCATGTTTGTTTGGAGACAAGGACCTACTATGTAGTTCAGGCTGGCCTTGAACATACTTTGTAGTCTCGGGCTTGTGGCAGTCTGCCTGCCTCAGCCTCCTAAGTGCTGGGCAGACAGGCATGCACCACCACAGGGGGCTCACAGGCAGTGTTTTGAGAGCTTGTGTGGTGACTGTAGCAGGGCAATACAGCCTTAACCGGAAATAGTCCTCCTTTCTGTGGAGTGGTCTTCCTGCGAGACTAGGATGCAGCTTTGGAAAGACACACATGCAGCTGCAGGGAGGAAGGGACTGCTGCCCCACCAGCCAGATCAGCCCAGTCAACACTGGCGACAGATTTTGCAGCCTGACAGCCCTCACACCCAAGCCCAAGCAATTTCCTAAGCCTTTGGACTGTCTGCTTCATTTCAGTGTAATTCAATTCAGTGTATTATATACTCTACAGCTTATGCTTTGCACTAACAGAGAATGCATTTTAAAACAAGTACTAAATGCTCAAAATTAAAAGAGTCCATGGCTGAGCCACGCTTATGGGTTAGTGCTGCCTGCCTCCCGCAGCTCCAGCCCCAGTGCACGGTTTCCCAAAGCCTGCAGTAGCTCTGCTTGTGGCTTCCCACGTTCCCCCTCTGCCTTTGCCACACCTTTTCTGTGTTCTCCAGAGGAGCCCAAAATACCACCTCTTATATGGCATTGTACTTACTGTGAAGCAGGTGAGCTACACCGACTGGAAGTTCTCAGGACTTAATATCTCAAAAGATGATGGTTTTAGAACTCAGATGGAGGAAGAAGAAATGATATTATCCCACTCGGCACCGAAACAGGAGGAATCCCTACCTCCTAGAAATGGTATTGTCTTTCTCAGAATCCAATTTTCTATTTAATCATCTCATTATTTTGTGAAAAGTTATTTACTGGCATTATAGTGCAGCGCAAAGTTGTGTTAGGAAATTAGTACATAAGCCCCTCGGCCTCCCTGGTTACAAGTGTCAGGGTTACCCAGCAACTGTCCTCGAAAGTGTTTTTCCAGTGCATTTATAGCTAGCTTAGCTCCAGGGATTCACAAAATGCTAATTTGGTGTCAGGGCCTGTGAGTTATGGTTACAAAGCAACACGAAGATTCTGGTTGGCTCATTCGTGATGTTACCACATATTTCGTTGTTTATTGTGCAATGCTGAGGATTGGATGCAAGGTCTTGGCACTGAGCTGCACCCCCAGCCCTTTGTATTGCTTATTTTGCAGCAGGCTGGAAGTCTTTGAGAGGCCCAGACTAGGCTGAAACTCGATCCTTCTGCCTCACCCTGCCAGAGCGCTAGTGTTAGAGCACTTGCAGGGGGTGACCCCACCAGCCACCAACCACCAGCCCCTGGATTCCAGACTGCTGTGATGAGACTCAAAATACACAACTACATTTACTAGCTTCATGGAGATAAAAGCTGAATTTTAAAATTTCAGGAAAGACCTAGTGCTTTGAAAGTCACAGGTGGTGGCACGTACCTGTAATCCTAGCACCAGGGAAAGTAAAGAAGGAAGAGCATCATGAGTTTGAGGCCAGCTTGAACTGTACAGTGAGACCCTATCTCAAAAAAATCCCAGCAGTTTAGAGGCTGAAGCAGGGTAATGGCCTCAAGTTTGAGGACAGTTTGGGCTACATAGTGAGTTCAAGGCCAGCCTGAACTGCATAGTGAAACCCTGTCTCAAAAAACCTTGAAAACAAACAATAATTTAAAAAAAAAAACAAAACACTTGAAAATTGATATTTTAAATTTAAAAGTAATTTTGTTTTAAAATAATGTCAAACTTAGAGAAAAGCTACATGACTAAGACTAAAAAATCACATAGGCTCTGTGTGTGTGTGTGTGTGTGTGTGTGTGTGTGTGTGTGTGTGTATTTGGTACAGGTTCTCACTACACAGCTTGGACTCATAGTGATCTTCCTGTTTTCAGCCTTCCCAGCGCTGGGATTGCAGGTGTGTACCATCACACTCTGTCTCGGTGACCAGCTAAGTGCACCTGGGGCGGGGCCAGTCCAGCATGTGGTGCTAGGGATTGAACCCCAGTCCCTGTGCTTGCCTAGACAGGCGCTTAGTCTGCTGAGCTATCTCGCCGGCTCTTCACATATGCTCTTTACCCAAATTCCTCAGCTTTTAATATTTTCCTAAACATGGTGAAACACGCCTGTAATCTCTGAGGCAGGAGGATTGCTGCAGGTTTGAGGCCAGCCTGGGCCACCTCATGGGACCCTGTCTTGAAAGAAAAGAAAGAAGGAAAGAAAGGAGGGACAGAGAGCGCGAGAGAGCGAGAGCGAGAGCGAGAGCGAGAGCGAGAGCGAGAGCGAGAGCGAGAGAGAGAGAGAGAGAGAGAGAGAAACAAAAAGACAGAAGGAGGAGAAAGAGGAGTAATAAGAAGAGGAAGAGGTGGGAAGAGAAGAAGGAGCAGCCAGATATGGTGGTGCACATCTGTGACCACAGCACATGGCAGGCTAGGGCAAGAGGATCAAAAGTTTGAGCTTAGCTCAGGCAGTTTATCAAGAACTTGTCTAAAAACTAAAAGTGTAAAGGGGCTAAGGATGTACTGCAAAGGGCCTGGGTTCAATCTCCATTACTACAAAAAGGGGCAGGGTGAGGCAGCTCAGTTCATAGCTAGCAAGTAAAAGTTTAGTGAGCCGACCTTGGGGTTGGAGAGGTGAGGACAGGCACTTTTTCTGTGCTACACAGAGTGCTTTGGAACAGTTCTGTGACTTTATCTCTTCTCTAGCAGATCAGGAATCCTCTGAACAGGCGTCTGAAGCCAGTGAAGCACAAACTACCGACAGTGATGATGTTGTGGTGGCAGTCACGTCTCAGAAGCGCCCTGCGGCAGTGAGTACACTGGGAGAATCGCTGCCCTGAGACAAGACTGTAAGCAGTGATGCCAGCCGCAGTGGTGCACACCTGTGATTGCAGCTACTCAGGGGGCTGAGGCAGGCGGATTGGGAGTCTGAGGTCATCTGAGGCAACTTAACAAGACCCTGTTTGAAAGATAGAGGATGATAGATCAGTTGATCAATCAATAGAGAGTTAAATGGCATGGCACCACAAAATAGAAAAAATACAAATAATGACAGCATGTTTAGGCCAGGTGCGTAAAGTTCAAGTCCAACTTTAGTGCGATTCATGGGAAATGCAAGTGTTCTAGTTACTTCCATGCTAGGGGAAGCCTGCTGTTACAGTCAGATGAAGTCACTGTCTTGGCTTCCTGTAAATCTATTTGCTGTAAAGCTGGGTGTGGCGGTGTACACTACTTTTAACCCCAGCACTTGGGAGGCTGAGGCACGAGGATTGCTAGTTCAAGGACAGCTTGGGCTACATAGTGAGGTCAATGCCAGCCTAAACTACAGACACAAACCCTACTTCCCCAAAGAACTCAGAAAAGAGAAATTGTTGCTTTAATTAATCACTTTGGAAGTCAGAATTTGTGCTGAGGAATTTTGGAAAAATGAAGAGGATTAGATTGAATGAAACAACTCCATGCCAGTAGACCTAGAGATTTAATATAACAATAGTCACATATTTTGTCTTCTGAACATTTACCTAATTTTTAAAGAGATTATGTTGTGGATATTTGGGGAAATACCCACAAGACAGACTGGAGCCACAGGAAATTAGATCGGCCAACACCTGATATCAGCCTGGGTTGCACAGCAAGACCCTGTCTCAAAAAAACAAAACCACAACATGGATAACACCTTAGCTGTCATACAGGAGAAGCCAATTAAAGTGCGCATGGAGGGTTGCAGAGTTAGTGAGGGAGCTGGACCCCACCCAGGCCTCTAGCTGTGCCAAGTCTCGGGTTCAACCTCAAAAGCATCCAGCTGATTAGCAATTCCTTGAACCATTACAGGTCAGCCAGTTTGTAACACAAGTTTCACCCTAAATTAATGACTCTTAACTAAGATTTCTTTTTAGATTTTTTTTTTCCCCAGACAGGGTCTCCCTCTGTAGCTGAGCCTGGCCTTGAACTCACTAGGTAGCCAGGGTGGCCTTGATCTCATCGTGATCCTCTTGCCTCAGCCTTCCATGCGCCTATCCTTAGATAGCATCTTCAGTCCAACATAAGCAGTAGATGAATGGCCAAATGGTCATGGAGAACCACAGTCCTTTTTTTTTTTTTCATTTTTGTATTTGGTACAGGGTCTCACTACACAGCTTGCAGTCATGGTGATCCTCCTGTTTTCAGTCTCCCAAGCGCTGGGTTTAAGGCATGTGCCACCATGCCTGGACTCTGTTGAAGGCTCAGCGCACCCTGGGGGTGGATCGCGCCCAGGTCTCTGAACTTGCCAAAGCAGGTACTTTGTCTGCTGAGCTGTCTCACCAGCCCTAGTCTCTAAAAAATTAATTTATTGCTGGGTGTGGTGGCTTATGCCTGTAATCCTAGCACTCAAGAGACTGAGGTAGGAGGATTGTTACAAGTTCAAAAACAGCCTAGGCTACAAAGTGAGTTCAAGGCCAGCCTGAACTGCCCAGACCCTGTGTCAAAAAGACAGAAAACAAAACAAAATTAAGTTAAATTTGAAAAAGACAGGGGCCAGGGAGATGGCTCAGGAGAATAAGTGCTTCCCTGGCAAGTGCAAGGTCCTGAGCTCAAACCCCAGTTCCACCAAAAAAAAAAAAAAAAAGGACAAAAAATAAAAAAATTTAAAACTATAAGGTGGCAGGGTGTGGTGGTTCATACCTATAAGTGACATGCACCCCCCAAAAATATCTGGGACCTCTCCCACTGGGGCTTCAGTGCATGATTAGCAGTTTACTGTCTACTGTGTGTGGCCTTTCCTGTCATTCACTGTTATAACTGGAGGTAAGAGATGCAGTCCATATGCATGGACCTTCACTGAGTGCCAAAGAAAGGTTACTGTGGATCAGTCTGGAGGATCCAGCACATTAGGTCAGCCAGATAGCTCAGCGGACTGAAGCGCCTGCTTAGGCAGGTATAGGGGTCAGGCTTCAATCCCTGGCGTGTGTGCTGGCCCCACCCCCAGGGCACCCTGAGACAGTGAATGAAACTGGGCGTAGTGACGCACGGCTGTAATCCCTGTGTTTGGGAGGCTGAAAATAGGAGAATCACTACGAGTCCAATCTGTGTAGTGAGACCCTGTGCTAAATAAATTTTTAAAAAAAGGATGGCTGGAGAATCCAGCATACAGCTGTCCTGGTTTGGGATTTCGTAATTCTCTAGGGCAGGCTCAGGGGTCTTAGTTTTTCTTATCTCTGCCTCCTGGACCAAGGCTGTAGCTCGAGCCTGAGGTGTTGCCCAGGTTGGGTGAGCGGAGGGAGTGCTCCGGTGCCCGCAGTACCATCTGTATTAAATCCACCTGCAGCGTGCGGGGCAGTCCAAGTCTCACCACTCCCATGTTCACCTCTATCCAGGCTACCCGCCCCAACATTCCCGACTGGTTTCCCTTCTACAATCAGGGACCATTTGAAACCTAAGTGAGATCTGCCCATCTCTCTTCAGAAGCCCCCAGCAGTCTCCCTGCTATGTGGTCCCACCTGGCCTGGACCCACCTGCAGCTCTGTCTATGGATCCCTGTTCCCAGCACTGTGGCCGGAAGGCCTTGCTATAACTGCAGGGAGGTCACCTCAGGGGCACCTGGCCCTTGCTCTTCCCTCTGCCTGCTCCCTCTCTTGCTTTCTGAAGGTCTTTGCTGCATCATTCATCCCAGAGGCCTTCCCTGTACCCTATATAAAGTAGCCACTCCCACTCTACACAGCACCCTTATTAATTAAAATCTATTAAATTTTCCTCCACAACATATTACCATTGATATGTTTTTATATGTTGATTGGTTTGTTTTTTGTGGCACTGGGGATTGAACCAGGGGCATATGCATACTGGGCATGCCCTGCACAGCACCTCCAGCCTCCTTCAGGTCTTAATTGATCCTTGCTACCTTGGGAATAAAAGCTGTAAGAGGTCCATAGGCTTCTCAGTGTACTGCCCTGTCTCCAGTGATCAGAACCTTATCTGGCTTCCGCCTGCTGAGCAGGCAGGGGCAGAGGGGTCTTGCAAGGCAAGGAAGGTGGAGGAGTCTACACCAACATCCGGTTCCCAGCTTGTAGGCCTGGGTGGGGGTGGTTTCAGGAACAAGCTGGGCAAGCAGATCTTGGTGACATGTAGAAGCGGAGCTGCCCCATCTTGTGGGGGTGCCTCGGTGGCAGTGGAGGACTGGGGATCAGAGGATGTGTCCTAGGTAGAAAGAGGTTTGGGGAGTACCAGTGCAGGGCTGCGGCAAGCGCAGAGTGGTGGGAGTGGGGAGGAGGGCGGAAGGGGAAAGCCAGGGGGACAGGCAGTGTCACTCAAGGGAAAGAGGGGTTGTGCCGAGGTAAGGGGTCTCAGGTGTTGTCAGGCGCAACACTGAAGCATAACGGATAAGCCTTATTCCGAGTCCTCTCTCCCCCTCCTGTCTTGTAGTATTAGTCTACTCCATTCTATGCCACTGTACCCTACCCTATCCTGCGCTATCCTATTCTATTTTATTTTTATTTTTAATTTAAAAATATTTCCGTTGGGCTGGGGAGGTAGCTCAGTGGTCCAAGTACCTGCCTGGCAAGCACAAGGACCCAGGTTCACTCCCCAGTACCCTATGCTGTACCAGCCCCTTGGACACCAGGTGTGCTGTACAGGATACTGCAACCAGGAGTGGTGGTGCAAGCCTGTAATCCCAGTGCTAGGCAGGTTGACACCGGCGGATCGCTGAGTCGGAGCTGCGCAGTGAGACCTTGTATGAAATAAATAAATAAATGATTTTTTAAAATGTAAAAGTATTTTGGACACTCAAATGCCTACATCTTGTACTCCGAGTAGTTAATTTGAAGATAACCATACATAATGTATTAACCATTGTTACTCCTCTGTTATCTTGCTTTGTAATTTTGGAATGCTTCACGAATTTGCATGTCATCCTTGCACAGGAGCCAGGCTAATCTTCTCTGTATCGTTCCAATTTTATTTTATTTTATTATCTTTTTAAATTGTCCAAAACTTATTGTAAAGAAAAAAATCATTAAAGCATGTACATAAAAAATATTAGCTATGGAAGAACAAAATTAAATAGCACCTTATTCCACATTAGAAATAAGAAAAAGGACCAAGTGTGTAAGAAAATAGACTAATTAAAGGACTGAAAGAAAAGATTTGTTCTTTTTGAATTTTATACTTAGCAAACATATCTTTGAAAACTAAAAGTAAGATTTTCTAGTCATACAAACTTGAAATATTTTAATACCTCCAGAAGTAGCATATAGGAAATAACAAAGAGCATAATTCAAAAGGCAAGAGAAGTTGCAGTATGCTCCTGGATGAAC